TCTCAAAAAAAAAAAAAATACTTGTGACAGAGACTGGCCTTTAAAGCCAAAAATATTTAAATTCTCTGGCCATTTATAGAAAAACGTTTGCTGGCAGCCACATGCGGTGGCTCACACCTGTAATCCCAGCACTTGGGGAGGCTTCAGCCAGTGGATCTCTTGCAGTCAGAAGTTTAAGACCAGCCTGGCCACCAGGGCGAAACCCCGTCTCTACTAAAAAAATACAAAAATTGGCTGGGTGCGGTGGCTCACGCCTATAATCCCAGCATCTTGGGAGGCCGAGATGGGCAGATCACTTGAGGCCAGGAGTTCGAGACCAGCCTGCCGAACATGGTGAAAGCCCATGTCTACTAAAAATACAAAAATTAGCCCGGTGTGGTGGTGCGCACCTGTAATCCCAGCTACTTGGGAGACTGAGGCAGGAGAATCACTTGAACCCGGGAGGCGGAGGTTGCGGTGAGCTGAGATCACGCCATTGCACTCCAGCCTGGGCAAAAAGAGTGAAACTCCGTCTCAAAAAAAAAAAAGCAAACGTCCCACCCCAACAGTTAATGCTTCCCTTGACCTCACAATGGCCTCCTGCACATTACCCAGGTGCTAGGGCGGCAGCCCCATGGGGACAGTGGGGAGACGTTTGCGCTCTGAGCGAGGAATCCGAGGCCCACCTCCTTCTCACTCTGTGGCTTTGTGTGATTCCTGCAACTCTGTGAGCCCTGGTTTCTTCGTCTGTGGGGTGGGGATGCTGCATCTTGGCACTGTTATCGGACCCGAACTGGAGCTGCTCTGATGATCACTCTGCAAGTGGCCTTTCTGGGCTCTTTCCCTGGTAGCCACCAAGCCCGAGCTCCTGCAGAAGGCGTCCGTGGGCATCATAGACCAGAAGACCTGCAGCGCGCTCTACAACTTCCCCCTCACAGACCGCATGATCTGCGCCGGCTTCCTGGAGGGCAAAGTTGACTCCTGCCAGGTAAGCATTCCGAGGGGGAAACCGGGCAGTATTGAGATGAAATGCCCACAGCCGTTCACCTGGCAGTTCTGTGTGTGCAGACCTAGACGTCTTCCCTCCCTTTCCTTCCCTCCCTTTCCTTCTCTCTCTTTCTCTGTTTCTGACGGAGTCTTGCTCTGTCACCCAGGCTGGAGAGCAGTGGCACGATCTTGGCTCACTGCAACCTCTGCCTCCCAGGTTCAAGCGATTCTCGTGCCTCAGCCTCCCGAG